TTTTATTTATATATATATATATATATATATAGGACAAAAAGAAAAGATTTTTCCAGTTCTTAGGGCATTTATTCATATCATAATATTTTACATTGTCCTTAGAAAAAAATACTTTTTTCCAGAGGTATGATGACTTTTTACAAAGTTTGATGGACGCCGTGGAAGAACAAAAACCTGAAGTGAAAAAAACGGACATAAAAGAAGAAGAGGACGAGCAGGATCAATATGGTAGTGTAACGAATACACAGATGCCAAAACAGCTTAAATATAAATGTAGGCTATGAATACTTTTATTACACTAATGAACTATAATTATAGACTTAAACTAAGTTTTTGCAAAAACAAAATCCTTAACTTTGCCATAAAACAACTCGCATCGAAATTATTTTGATATCATAATGTATCTTAAACTTATCCGTTTTTTTTTTCCTTTCTTACTTTTCTTTTTGATATTAAAATGCATCTTAAACTTTTCCAAAAATATTGAAGCGAAAATAGAGCAAATTAAGTGAAAATGCAAGCAAAAACATTTTAAACAAAAAATAGAAAATAAGAATTTCGTAAATTACAGAATAAAACACAAAATGTAATGTATAAAGCAAGTAGCAAATTCATACGAATTTTCACTAATCGACAACTTTGAAAATGATTTTAAATATTTTCTTAACAAGTTAGCCAGATTAAAAAATATGAAAGTAGAAGAGCTAATAGAGGATAATGGGTATATTTTACGGCTCGTTTTTACTGAAGTACATAAGCGCGTTTGATTTGCTAGTTCCTTGGATTAGCCCGAAATTACATGTGAGCAAGGTAATAATATTACATTGGATAATTCAAAATTTTATAATTAATAAGGATATACCTCTGGGGGTACTGATCCAGGAGTTCCTTGTCTTCTGGATTGGTTCAAAATTACAAGGCTACGGCGTTGAACATTAGTAGTCGTAAACCCAAAAACTGGGTCGGCTGTTCAACGGCGGTCATAAAATAAAAAATAAAAATTAATAAGGATGCTTGCCTCTCCATCTAACGAAAATGCGGGTTAATTCCATCAAAAAGTCTTCCACGAAGGCAAATTTATCCCAATACTTGATCCAGGAGTTCCCTTGTCTTCTGAATTGTGCTCAAAATTACAAGGCTCCGGAGTTGAACATTAGTATCCGTAAACCGAAAAAATTGGGTCGGCTGTTCAACGAAAATAAAATTAATAAGGTTGAATTTAAATCATAAAACTTTAACATTGGTGGTTTTATAGAAGTCATTAACATTTAAATTAAAAATAATTGTTTTAAAAAAATCTTTATTAAATGTTAAAAGATTTTAGCCCCGGAGTTGCCAGTATTGGATTTGCGTATGGTAAAAATATAAATTTGGACCACAAAGAAATTATTAATAATTATGACATACAATTAACTCAATGATTTTATGTAGAATTTAATCACATTGTTGGATATCCATTGTGTTTTATTCAATTTAAAAACAGTTCGTCTATTTGTTTTTTTTCCGGATAAATAAACACTACTATAAACTCTTTTAATTATGTTCAATTGATTCAGAATGGTATTTACATCAATGTCTTTAGAAGTATCAGAACTTCACGTCATTAGTTTAATTATATTAAATTTAAAATAATTTCTTTTATTGTATGAAAAATACAGATATTTTCTTCTTTTTTAATACTGAAATCCAATAAATTAAAATTAATATAATCATCATTATTACGAAGCAAGATTGATTCCTCGGGGTAAAAATTATTTAACAAAATTGTATAATTTTGAAAAAAAAAAACAAATTTAAAATAAAGAAAACAAATTTATTAAGAGTACATTTTTTTCGTAACAGTGTAAAAAATTAGATCCTTGTGGTATAGACAGTAAATTACAAACGGAAAATAATGTTTTTGTACACCCGAAATAATGTAGCAATAAATTTGTAACTTCAAGCATTTACTTTTGCTATTAAATCCAAGAATTGCTCGAAATATCGTAAGCCCAGCTAAAATATTTATGGAGTTCTGGAAATTATTATAGAAAAGTTCTTTCAGTAGTTCCTTTTTAAAGCGCATGCGTTACAAAAAATTTAAAATTGTTTTTCCTTAAATTTGAAGTGAATCGTAATGGGAAACTATAAAAATAAGTCCTGTCCGATTTTGAAGATATACAAAACTTTTTAAATATTTAAAAACTTTCAAGCAATTTCAAAGTAGTTTTTGTACTTTTAAAAGAATGCTCAAACTGATAGGATGTTTTCCACAATTTCATTTTGTTCTATTAAGCAAAATTTATTAAAAATGACACTGGCATTTTTGGTAATCATGTCGCATAAAAGTATTTTTTCTCTTGCATATTTTCTTTCCTTATACTATCATATTTCATGTAAGGTAATATCATTTGTTATTTATTTTGAGATATGATGCAAAATAATATTTGTAGAAAACCCTTATCATTTTAAGTTTCATTTTTTTAAAATCGAAACTACTTAGAAAATTGCTTGAAATTTTTTAAAATTTTAAAATATTCAAATCAAACAATTTATTAAAAGCTTTTTTAAATTTTTTCCTTGCATGTGCAGTATTAAAAAACTATTTTAAATATATATATTGCAAACGTTTCAACTATAAAAATTGCGTAATTAATTTTAAATTGCTCTAAAAATTTTGTTATATTATGTAATATTTTAAAATTTATAGCAAACGAATGTAAGGCAAAAAATTAGTTTGTTTTAAATATCTCTCTAAATATTTAACCTCTTCGAGACGGGCGAGTCATATATGCATTCTCAGGGTGGCGACAATCACGGTTAAAAAATATAAAACTGGTAGCCAAACTATTTTGTTAGCAGTTTATTTGTGTGCTGGGTAATAAGAGTTTTCTTGATTTATATCACCAAGACTTCTTTCAAATTAAAAATTAAATAGTTACACTTTTAACAAACAAAGATTGGAAGTATTAGATTTAATGTGAAAGCAAATGTATGGCTGTCAAATTAGCCATGCCCAAAATTAAGCTACCGCTTTTTATTTTATTTTCATCCCATTTATGATTCCATACGAATATACTAATGTTTCGCACGTCCCGAAAAGGTTAAGTTAAAGGTAAAGTAAGAGCTTACGAAAGTTTGCTCACTTATTGCATAAAAATACCTAAATAATTCATATACGTTAAAAAATTTATTGCTACATTTTTTTGGCATAGGGTGTTCAAAAACACTATTTTCCATTTGTAATTAATTCATTGTCGATCCTTAAACCTCTAATAACTATAAATTTCATTGAGAAGTATGTGAAATTGCTTGATCCTAACTTTTCTGGAGTTATCAAATGATTCCTTAAGTATATGTTGAGAAATATGAATTTTTTTTTTATTAAGAAGAAAGTGCTTTCATTATTTTGTCCACCTCCTGTATGAAAATGAAGTTATAGCATAAGTTAAAGTTTGGACAACATATTTTATCTAAAGGTAGTGATCTTAAGTAAAAAAGTTAAGACAAACTGAATTTTTTTAAAACGTTTACTAGCTCTTTATAATGTGAGTATTTGTCCGTCTGATCGTCTGATCTATTACATAACTTTTCAAACAATTTATATGTACTTATGACCAAAATTCTTTTAAATCTAATTTACGAATCCTTTATACATAGAAAACCACCATCTTAGTTTAATTGATGCATATATTTTTTGGAACTAGAGAAATTCCGTAGTTGTTGGATGAATGGTATGTATGAAGTAGTAGTACTGTATTTTTAAGGCGTGCTTCTTTATAGGGCTGTCAGAAGATGAACTCGTGGCTCAATGCATTCTCTTTTATTTTGTTGGATATGAAACTACTGCCTCAACGATAGCTTACATGGCGTATGCATTGGCAACAAACCAACAATGGCAAGATAAATTAATTGCCGAAGTGGATGAAGCGTTCAAGAAGCACGTGAGTACATCTTAAAACAATGCTAAGTGTATGAAAATATTTTTTTGTCAGAAGAAAAGAAGTATTAATCAGCCTCATGTCTGACATATGACTAAACAGTTAACAGTTTGTCCAACGCCTCCAATAACTGAAAGCCTCCACACGGTTTTTTATAGGTAGTCGGATCCGACCACTGTGAAGGATATCCACTTTCCGAACGAGTCACTTAATACGAAATCTAGTTAAAATAAGAAAGTGGTAACAAATATATGACTAAAAATTTGTTTTATTTATGAATATTATTGGTTTGCCTTATTCACTTGTCAACCACTACAGATTCAATTCTCAAATATGTATGATAAATTTCTCTCAATTACTTTTATGAAAATCATTGCATACCATAATGTTGCAAAATCAAAATGTCATCACACAATGTTTTTAATTCATGATGTATGGGATAGGGGCCGCTGCGCGGCCCAGGTACCCAATTTTCTGTTAATAAATGAAATGAAATACTTTTATGAAAGGTTTTGGGTTCATGCGCACAACTGGTTTACTTTTTAAACAGTCTGCGCGGACCACTTATAAAAGACCGTGTGGAGGATTCCAGGGCTAAAGAGAATAGAAGGGCTGGTTCATTCCTTTGAAGTATCTCTTGCCGCGCCGATCCTCCGACGTCACTCTAGTGACGTCACTTTGGCGCAAAGCTCGCACTTTTACTTCAAGAACGGAGCGTTTGGCCTTACTAGCTCTAACTAATATTGGATCATTTCTTTTTGCGAGATATTCTAAGACATTTGTTATTTTCTATAATGACTNTTATAATAATAATCGTTTTTATTAGAATAATAATCGTTATACAATAATAACGATTTTATTTATAATGATATCGTTTTTATTTATAATAATATCGTTTTTATTTATAATAATAATCGTTTTCATTTCTAATTTTTATAATAATAATCGGCAATAAATATCGTTTTTGAATAAGCTACATTTTTTGTAATTTTATTCAAAAATAAGTAAGTTTTATTAATCAGTTAGATAGTTCACTCTTGTCGGTCAGAACTGTATTCTTTATTTCAAAATGATTTAAAAAACACTATTTATAAGTAGATTTTAATGGTTTAAAGAAGTTTAGTTAATTGTGCAAAAATGGTTACAGAAGCTTATTTTAAAGTTAAAACACGCAAAACAAATTTTCTTTGAATATTCCCAAATTATTTTTCTAGTCAAAAGCAGGAAGTAAATTTTAAACAGTCACATTTCTCTCTGGTTTAATACATTCAAAATTCCATCAAAATTAGGTGTTTTCACTGAATTTAAGATAGAATTCTTGTTCATTTTTTTTTTGCATTTCCTTCATTGTTTGTCTTTTTTTAAATGTTGTAGGAAAAAAATTAATTAATTTGCCTGAATATAAATGAACACAATTACAAGGGGGAATAATTGACTTTCAATTTTTTTCTGATGTAATTCAGAATATTCGAGACAATTAACTCGAAATAAGAAAAAACACATATCTCGTATTAAAGTCATTATCAATTTACCGCCGATATAAACTTTAACGTTTGTTTCGTTCTCTCTACTTTTATTAATAAAAAAAATATATATTGGACATCCATTTAATAAAAATGAATGTTTCTTTTTATCTTTTAGGTTAAGAGCGATCGTAGCTTCAGCTCTAAGAGCGGAGTGAACTAGCCCTTGTATTCTCTTTAGCCCTGGGAGGATTCTTGATGTAGGAGGTGATGGTTCGTCCGGTGTATAAGTCGACTTTTCACATCCTCAAGATTTTGCAAAAATATGGAGGTTTATTTAGACACCAGTAAAAAAGACCAGTACATTCGTTGATCGTGAAATTTTAATGCATTATTAACAAGGATATAGTTATCAATAACTCTGTAATTATTTACCTCTCTTTCTAATAATATTTTAAAAAATTCATAGACAATTAAATTTGCATTTTCTCTCACCATATTTTCTTTGCATATAAAGAACTTATTTTTGGTATAATTCTTTAAATTAAGTTCGGAGAAATATTAAGTATAAGAAAGGGTCCTCCGCGCTGCATTTGGTCAGGTGAGTTGCTTTATAACAGTGGGTGTTTTGAAGTTTTACATTTTTAGTGGTTTGCAATAATTTTGTAATAAGTGTTGCCAGACTGATCCCACTGTGTTGGAAAGGGAGGATTAGCTCTTTAATCAGCTCCTATAATATGATTTTTTATTTCAACTGAGCATGAAACCTTGGAAACCAACGTACGCCCTTTATATTATATGACCACATAAAATTAATCCATTTTTGTTATCAATTCTAGTATAGTTTATTTTGAACATCATGGCTTTTACTTTTACTAAAAGAAAGCCTGTAATGATATCTGTGCTGGAAAAGCATAACACATCAGTGTGATTGGAACAGGGAGATAGCTTTACGAAGTTTGAAATAGAATATTAATAAAAAAAATTACATTTGAAGGAAAAGCTTCCGAATTAGATTAGGTTTGTATAAATGGTGTAAACAAAAAAGAGATAAAAACTATTTAAGTCTTAAGGAAAACCAAATTTTAAAATAAAATATATTTATACTTACTAGAAAAAAAAAACACAGTTATTAAGCAGTCATATTCAATTTTTTTGAAAAATATCGATTTTCAGAGTAAATAGAAGAAAGTCAAACACATAGCGATGCTAATCTACAAACTACATATCACCTGAATATTATGATCATCTGTCCGGTCTCAATTACTTCGGATAATCGAGTTCTTACTGTATAAGAATATCGGAAAACAAACTTTTTACTGTTTTATAATACTTTATTAAACAAAAAATTAAATTGTTATGCTCTACGTTTTTAGGGCGAAGTTGGTTACGATGCTGTGAGAGACATGAAACTTATGGACGCAGTCGTATCAGAAACTTTGAGAATGTATCCACCTGCTTTAATGTGAGTACTTTTTTCGGTTTTTAATTTTTTAGTTTTGATCGCATTCTATTGTAGGACCTGAATTTTTTTAGAGCCTCGATTGGTAAATTGTTTTACAGAAAAATAAATACATCTTATTACTTATTACTCAACTTATTACTTATTACTTCTATAACGTAAAGCCACAAAAGATTACAGCATATAAAATCCAAATTATTTTAGCTATTATTTAATATTCAAACTTTTGGAAGAAAGTGGAATAAACGTAGTGGAAGAGCCAGGTAAGTGAAATTTTCAGAACGAAAAAAAGAAGTTGTATCCGAATTATTTTGTGACCAATTTATTAGAAGGTGGGACTAATAATTCTTTGTTTTATTTTATTTACCACAGCCTGATTTGAATAAGAATCATGTAAGCATACCAAAAACTAATATGGATTAGTTATGTTAAGATAAAAATGAAAACAGAAACAGTTCTGTTAAATTAAACATGCCTATAGTGACGCAACCACAGTATGTAAATTTATCGAATTCATTAATTGCTCTGAAATTTTTATTCATCTGGTTCTTTCCAAGCTCTTTAATTGTGTCGGTATATTCCTTTCGGTTATGGGCATAACTGCGTTGTGTTTCTCAATACTAATTTATTGAGTCTTTTCCTTTTTTTATTTTTCCCGTACGAAGAACTGGTATTTTCTTAGTGTTTAATAAAAATTATGCGTTAAAGGTATAAAAAAAATCTAGGTTTTCATGTACATTCTATCTCTCTGAAAACAAATTAGGAAGGTTAAGTATCAATTATTTTTCTCTCCTGAGGTTCAGCTTTAACGGAATTAGTAATTTTTCACAATCTTGGAATAACATTTAGGGTTAATTTAATGTTTAATTTCTTGCGCTTGAAAAATGTACCTCAAGATAATCAGGTATGTTATGTTCCTTAACTCATTCGAACCTGGCGTCCAGCATACCGCACATCAATTTCAATCCATATTAACTTTATTAACAATCCTCTGAATCACATAATTTTAGCTTCATTTTATGATGATAGCGCTACTGCTTTTTAAATATTGCTATAGGCCATATATTTAGACCGAAGAAGATATCTTGAAACTAAATGGATATTTCCAATGAAGGGAGTATTTTGAAGCTAAATGGGCCTTTCCAGTAAATGGAATATCTTGAACCTAAATGGATATTTCCAACTGAGGGAATATCTTGAAACTAAATGGATGTTTCGAATGAAGGGAATAACTTGAAGCTAAATGGATATTTCCAATGAAGGGAATATTTTAACCCTTTTGAAGGCCGTGGTAAGTATACTTACCACCACGTTTTACCACTTTTAATTTAGGTTTCCATTTTTCAATAACTTCAGCTTTCTTGAAGTGAGTTTGAATAAAATTGGTAATCATTTGTCACTTTTAAAAAACGTATAAAAGTTATAAAATACATAATTCCTTTTGAAGTTTGTACCATTTAAGGAATTTATTTTATAAATAAAGAAAAATAAAAGTCAGTAAGTTCCTAATAGGTCATGTTAAATATATTTACCACCAAAAAAATGGCATTTTTATAAACAAAATGAGTTTTTTTTTGTATCAATTACTGTTCTTAAAACAATTTCAATTCCAAAAATACTTTAATTTACCTTTACTAGAAATAAAGGGCTCATTAAAGGGTTACAGCTAAAATGGCCTTTCCAGTGAAGGGAATATCTTGAACCTAAATGGATATTTCCAACGAAGGGAATATCTTGAAACTAAATGGATATTTCCAATGAAGAGAATATTTTGATGCTAAATGGGCCTTTCCAGTGAAGGGAATATATTGAGTCTAAATGGATATTTTCAATGAATATAATATACTGAACATAAATTGATATTTCCAATGAAGGGAATATCTTGAAACTAAATGGATGTTTCCAATAAAGGAAATATCTTGAAGCTGAATGGATATTTCCAATGAAGGGAATATCTTGAAACTAAATTGGTATTTTAATTGAAGGCAATATCTGGACGCAATAGGGATATTTCCAATGAAGGGAATACCTTGAAGCTTATCTTATTTCATCTGAAGGAGTGAAAAGAACTGATACTGATAATATGTTGTTGCAGTTTCTATTATTGTAATTGAAAAATTAAATAGCTAAACATTAAATTTACAGCCGTTTTGAATTTGAAAGAAAATGGATGCAAAAAACACTCGTATGAGTGTAAAAAGTTGACTTAGAGTGAGTTCAATCTTTAAAAACAGTTTTGTTTTCCAAGTGAAAATTTTAAAATTAGAAATAAAGTTAATTTAATCAACACATACAAGTATTTTTTTTTCTTTTTCAGGACAGCACGAGTAGCGACATCAGATTACAAGTTAGGTGATACAGGTATAGTTTTAACAAAAGGAATGATTGTGATTACTCCACTGTACGCAATGCATTACGATGCCGAGTTTTTTCCTGACCCTGAAACTTTTAATCCCGAAAGGTATGTTTTATTTTAAATGTGAAATTCGTAATGATTTTCATTTTGAAATAAACAGTTAGGGTTAAAACAAGTTAAAATATTGTTCTTCTGCAAACATGACACCAAAAAAGACAATAGTTAATTGAACTATTTTAACTGTAATAAAAAATACATATTGAACGTAGACGTATTTAAAACAAAGTAAGTTGCTTCCTAGCAGCAGCAAGCTAAAAGCAAAAATAATTAGCTGTTCTAAGGCTACTGGAATATTTCCTTACATCTCATTTACACGAGGCCTGACATCAAGCACGTGATTTCAGGGGACTTATTTTTTGCTTTCACCTTAATTATTACATATCTATTTATTGTTAGTTCAAAGTGTTACTAGACAATTTTTATTTTGAATTAAGTTGTAATATATTAAGTAAATCAAACTATTATTACTCCTCCCCCAAATAAACTGCAATCGAAGTATTTTGCCTACCAGTATATATATGTAATAACAGGGCTACATCCCTGTTATCATTGGTTACAGTTAGTTCAAATAATTCTGTCGTGAACCAATTATTCCTTCATTAGTTTTATTTACAGGTAGGCTGGTGGTTATATCATTTCATATCCACTCTCCACAAGGGAGGGGGTGGACAAAACTCCGAATGGTTCCGGCAGATCTTACATGGAATACATCACACAGCAAGAGTCATGTGAAAACAATCGCTCACGTATTAAATACTAACACAGAATGAGGTAAAAAGACTCAGTCTTCGCATTCCTTGTATCCTTACGCATTATGGGAAATCATTTACTGCTTCCTAATATGGAAGTGAAAGAGGAAAAGATTCTAAAAATAACCCGTTTGAAATATAAATCTAATTATAATTCAATGGTATGTTTTCAGCCTTGAGTCCCAAAATCGAATATCTCTACAACTATATATTGTTCTTTCAATACAGGGCTGCAACTTTTTGAACTTTTTGTAAAAACTTATTCGAGTGATAGTAACTAAGTTTGTGTTGAATTATTTTTTATTCAGTTATACTTATTTTCTACACCACTTTTTAAATTATTTAAGAGATCGTATGCAACGCCATTTTATTCAAACTATATCGTGGTGAGACTTTAAAAATGTTGAAAATTTGATACAAATTCAGAAAGCTTTAGTTTTTAAATGTTTACTACTCTACGAAATATTTTGCTAAAAGCGTAGTAGTAGAAAGGTCAGTAAATATATACCACGCGGGGGGAAAAATAAAAATTTTATTTAATTTTATTCATATAGTTTCTTATGGAAAAAAAAAAGATAAAAATTAGAAACTAAAATATAGCAAACTTTCTACCGCTTATATTTATGGTCGTCACCATTTTTAAACCGATTTGTAATGAGATATCTGCAAGTGACGTTGTGTGGGTAGCTCGATCCCGATCGGGTGTTGAAACGTGACATTACCAACGTTATTTACATTACTAGATATTCATTCCATTCTATTTCAAATACGTCGAGCCTGTCAAGTGTCAATTCCTTTAAGTGACACATTCTATATTCTGACACAAAGATTCTTTCACATGGATTTCAATTCATCCTCTAAATATTTATTAATTAATATAATGACAGGCACGAAGGCACGTAGAACATAAACGAATTAATTATGCATCGAAGTTGCCAGGTACACAAAACAAAAATATATCACGGTTAAAATAAGATACGTAAACAAATAATAAGTCTAAGTTAAGTAAAAGACAAAAAATTATATTGCAAAAAAGTCATTGTGTGATGCGGCGCTGTATTTAATTATTTTCTCGTTGATCAACATTCTAACTTATGTGGAGAAATTCACCCAACTTTAACTTGCCAATTTTTACCACTAGCATTTTTAATTTTATGATATGAATTATTCCTGAAATAATATTTTATATATCATTAACCCTTTCGCGCCGACTGTCACAAATATGTGTCAGCATAAAACCGTATCAATCAGGGTAAAAAGATAAAACTGGTAATCAAAGTAATTCTTTATCAGTTTATTTGTGGGCTGAATTATAATTGTTTGATTTATTTAATTCACCATTACTTTGTTCAAAATAAAATTATTTAGTTATACTTTGAATTAACATTGATTATATACATATATGATTAAACTAACAATAATTAAAGTAAAGGCAAAGTAAGTCTGTCAAATTTAGAAACGACTACATTTAAGTTACCGTTTTTATTTAATTGCATCCTGATTCTGATTTTGTATGAATGCTTTTCTGAATCACCCGTCCCCAAGGGGTTAATGAAAGCATTTGTTTATGCACCGAAAAACCTCGTCGTAATTTTGCTGCGAGGTTTGAAAGTAATGAGCACTAGAATAGGCAAAGAGTTGCCAGTTTTTAACATGTTGAACACCATGATGGTCATTGGTGACCGGTGAAGCCAAGAATATTAGAAACACAAAATTCTAGCAAATTTTTTTTTTTTTAATATTATTATTGTTATTAAAATGGTTTAAAGAAATCAATGCAATTTAGAACACACAAAAACAGTTTTATTTATATACACAGAGATACCAACTGGATCCGGACAGCGAATAAATATTTTAAAGTGGTAATTTATTAATTGTGATTCTTGATTTAATAAAATCAATTTAGTAGATTTTTATCCACCACTATTTCCGAGCAATTCGTAGGCTTATATAATTAACCACTTGATATGTCAAGCCAATCCTTTTTAAGAAAACTAGAAAAAACTGTCGAATACTTGCAATTTTAGTTTGTAGTTATGTAAAATTAGCGTGGCATTAAGCGTTTAAATAATGGTAGTATTACAATATTTAAATATACGTTTACACGAAACGTCAGTCACTTTTTTACTAAAAGCTAATTGCATATTGCTACATAACACAAGATTTTCATATTGATCCAAAGGACATTTTTCTTCGAAGTCTCTGCTTATATAGGAAATAACGGTCGTTAGTTGTGAGAATCGCAACAATTATTCACGATTTTTGATTACCTTAAGAACTTTTCGAGTAAATTTTGACTATTATAAGAAATAAAAATTGTTTATTTTTTATAACTTTTTTTTCACTTTTTATGTGCTAATTATGAAAATGAGGAGGAAGAGAAGCCAAGGTTTTCCAGAAATAAAATTCGTTTTATCCCTAATTTTTTAATGTTTGAAAAATTATATTAGCACTGCTTCTTTTCTTGTGCGAATAAAAACTTACAAAACTTGAGAATTATTTATTGATTATAATGATTTTCCTCTAAATGAAAAAACTTCGACAAAATTGGACATTTTTAACAAAAATAATAAACTATTTGTCAGGTCTAAAATCGAGATAATTCTTAACGGCGAGATGGTACGTATTTAGCTCATAATTATAGCTTTGTTTCGAGTTTGAGGCACTTTAACTGTGCCATTTTTATTTTCTTTGGCGAAATAGCTTTGAAAATATTATATATGGTGATACTCTTTCTGTAATTCTTTTTTTTTAAATTTATTTATTCACTTCTAGGTTCATGGATTCATCTAATGTTAAACATCCACAATATGCATATTTACCATTTGGCGAGGGACCGAGGAACTGTTTGGGAATGAGATTTGCTTTGCTGGAGATCAAGTTATGTATGGCTAACATATTGCATCATTACAGATTTAAAACTCATTCAACAACAAAAGTAAGAATTTGTATGTTATAGATAATCCAAATTATAATATTTGTTTCGGTATTGGTTTTTGTTTTGTTTTTTACTTAATGTGTAAAGCAACACAGATGAAGAAAAGCTACTTAGCTTTAACCATCATGTATTCTCATTTTTTTATCATGTGTAGGTCACTTTATGTGGCCTGTTATTGAGGAATTAATATAAAATATTTTTTTCTTATTTCCAATGAGCTGCACAAGTGCGCACACATGAGGAGACCTTATTCGTTCTCCAGAAGTGGTATCCACTCTTTCAGGACCACCACAATGGGTGAGATACCGTTGGCCATGTTGATTTGGATGTCTAGTTTCTACCACACTAGATGGCAGCACCATCTAGTGTGGTAGAATATAAAATATTTTAGGGGACATTTTTTTATATAATTCGGAAACTTAAACAGGCTGGTCACAAGTATAAATATCTTGCGCCAATTACGCCAATTTACACAGTAACAGAAATAACAGAATATTATAATATATTTCTTTCTATTTGACTTGTATATTGGAAATAAGGAAATCTATTTATAATCCGTGTCATTTCACTAATTGAGTTTCCTAAACATCGAACGAAATTTTCATATAGAAGAAAGTAGTCGCACTAAGTGGAGTTCTAGTAGTATGTAATAAATTTGAAAGTGGTGTTTCCAAATGGGGCATATGACTTAGAAAAGGGTTAAAATAAGTGGTCGGAAAAACTACACTTTCTTTGTAGTTAACCACAACTACAACTACTTTATTACAACTCAAGTTATCTACAATTATTTATTTTTTTAAATGTAACGTCTACAAACTGCTCTCGATATATAGTCACTACTTTTTGTTACTTTTAGAGGACAAACTTAATTTGAGAACTTATTTATCCCCAATATTCTCAATGACTTTGAATAATAAAATTGACTTGATTAAATGTGAGGAGATATTAAGAAGTTTTAATAGTTTTAATTCATGTTTACATGAAAAAGTGTTCTATTCCAAAGCACTTTTTACGAATTTGCTCATTTAAACTTTCTGCTTTTCTCGACGCTTAATATTTCATTTAAGAAATACTAAGAAGTTATTAAATATTTGGATTTAGGTGATCAATGCCTTCTTATATAATACGAGAAATAAAGCACAGGGCAACAACAAAAAATGAACCACCCTGTATAACTTTTGATGTAATGATCGGATCTTCAAGCTCTAGAACCCAATCTTAATGGTTTGAGAGGGTCACCGCAAATATGTTAATTAATTGCTGCAGACGATATTTTATTTAACCAAATCAGGCACAAAAATTCAGACACTTTATAGTTCCTGCGAAATCGAATTTTTAAAAAGACAGTTATTTAAAGTTCAATTTCTCAAAACCCATTCGACCGATTTTTCTAAGCAACTGACGCAGATCTTATTAACGCTCGTCCACAGCGGGATTCTCATTGCTCACGTTGTAGGGCCTACTGCGGATTTGCACCAATCAGAATCGACAATTGTTTTGAGTTTGAATTTCATTTAACTAACGTTAAAAGTAGTTGCCAGGAATCGCTACAAACTACTGTTTTTTGGTATCACACAACTCACTACACTACTTCTTTTTAAGAGTAGAGCAATACACAACAAACTACGGAAAAAAGTAGCGACTATACTAGTTTTAGTTACGTAGTATAGCGACTATAGTAGTTTTAGTTACAGTAATATAGCGACTATAGTAGTAGTAGCGAGGTACTTCCTACCAATGGTCGAAATACGCACATTATCGTTTGTTTTAGTTTTTATCCTTAAATTGTATGACTCTGTAAATGGAGCTGATCCGGACACATAAGCTGTTGTAAAAGCGACACAATCGGACTTTTTTATTTATTTATCCGTAAACCGTCAATCTGTTTTGTAAGTAGATTGTATATTGGACAATTGTATATTATTGTGGCGATTGTGTGTTTGAGGAACTCAAATCAAACGGGCGGAAATGAGTCAAATTGACTCATATCCGTAGAGATAGGTATACCACCTAGAGAATTTCAATATTTCCCCGCTTTTGAAGAAAATAGCCTTCAATATATATTTACTTCGATCAATGGTTAAAACTAGAGATAAAATAAAAATTCCAACGGGTTTTATAATTTTCCTTACATAACTCGAAATGCATCAAAATGACGCGTCCCGTAAACCTGGTGTTAAGAGCCCCGCAGTGAGAGAGGGGAAACAATTCGGCGTTGCTTATAAACTGATGTCTGCGAAATAAGCGAAAAATTCTCAATACTCTAGTTCTTAATTGTCTCTACAAAACATAATGCAAAAAGCAATAATGAGGAAAGTGACTTCATAAAATGAGTGGTAGCATATTTCGAATCAAATTAAGCAGGCCTTTTATTACGTTAGCTACCAGCTGAATTCGAAAGTATGACATTAAAATTATTTTAGAATCTATAGCGGAATTTTAAAAACATTATTCTTTTTAGGGGGGATTGATTACGTATATACTGCATCACTTATATTTGTAGTAATCACGAATGGATAAATTCTTTGAGAAACAGAGTGGAAACGAAGTAGTTCTGCAATTTTTTAAACTTTTGCATGGTTTGCAGAAATTTCAAAAATGTATTTTAACGTGACCCGCTTGCAATGTTTTAACACATTGCAAGCGGGTCACGTTAAAATACATTTTTGAAATCTTAATAAAAAATTATTTCTGCCTGAATGAAATTAAATTTTCTAAATAAAAATTTGAAATTCAGCAGAACACAAAATTGTATTTATGTTTTTTTTTCCAGGTACCTTTGGAATACAAGAAATATTCTGCGTTCCTCAGTGTTACCGAACTACCTTTGGCTTTAGAGAAAATTAATCCAAGTGCGGATTCAACATCGTAAAATTGAGATTGCACATTGGTTTTTATTTTCACCCGTGAGAAGATGACATATTCAAGCAAATTGAAAAATATCAACATGCATACTTCTTTTTGTAAATATGAATGTAATCTTCAGTATTTAAACTATTTTGTATATAAAGGATGGTTTATGAAAGAAAAATAAACAGTACAGAGGAAAAAAAATGAATTTATTTCGTGTATGTAAAAGTGATCAATGAAGTTATTTAAAATGTTTGTGTTTGATTTTTTAAATTAAAATAGAAAAAAAAATACAGTTTACTGTTTCACTTTCAGTTTTTCGTAATACTATCTTACAAGTTGACAAACGTTTTCTACCCTTTGCCGCAAATGTATCATGTTTTTCATTATTATGTAATAATTTAAGTCAAAATAATTTAGCAATAAATGCTAGCTATATTAATATAAAATAATAAATTATTTAGCATTAAAATAATATATCTGAGATTGACAGCGTGGAACATCGATGTCTTTTTCTGTATTAAAGACAAAATCTTCAGAACACGGTTCACTTCGAAACAATAATTTTGCAAATGAGCAGTTATTTATATCTAAAATAAATAGTTATTTATCATTGAAATTTCTCTAATTTACTAAATCAATTGCTGATAAACTTATTGAATTAGAAGGGGAAAAAATTTCAAACTACTTATTTCGTATTTTATATTATAATACAAATAAAATACTACCTATAATCAAACTGTTTTTTTTTTTTTGCTACTTTTAGACAGTTTTTATAATTATAAAGAGTAGCAAAATAGATTTTATATGTTTTCTATATGTCATGTTGTATTATCTTTATTTATATAGTTTCTTCACGAGGGGCAAACTGCTTCATTTCTTCAGGAAGCTGTTTGCTTTCTAACTTTTCCCTCAACTTATTATTTTTTTTACCTGATGTGTCAATCCCAGATGGATGGTTAAAAGGCCTATGTGAACTAGCACATATCCGAAACGAACGATGAAGATATTGACCTTTCTTTATTTCTATGAGCAACTTTAAGGAAATTTGGTAAAAAAATAAAAAAAATAAATTGGATGATACGTTTAAGAGAGATGAATGGGTATAAATTGTTTGTGTAATTATTTGTTAACACATTGCTGACCGGTCTCAAGTTAACTCGTGTTTTCGTTAGCAGTGATCTCGTGGTGACTATTTTAACAAGTAATTTTCCTTACTTTTCAAGTTTTACTATTTAATACTAAAAATTTATTATAACTTTACGAGACCTTATACAATTGCTAAATCCGTGACTTTGGATCACAGGTGCCTACTGGGTTAAGCGAAATGAGTAACGAATAAAGTTCAGTGCCTGCCATTCGGGAAAAAAAAAGAATTGGTAAACTTGTGTATCATTACACGACATAGGTGAATGTTATACCTTTCATCATACAAAAAAGAAATACTAAGAGTTGAATAATAAATAAAACATTTTGAAGTTTATTTTCATTGTTTTACTTCCACATTCGCTTTCAAAACTATAGCCGGGCACATGGGGTAATTTTCAGAAAAGTTGCCGGTCAGCAATGTGTTAAGTAACGGATATATTTTGTTACCATATTGAATGCCACGCTAATTTCACATGGTTTGCTCGTCTGGTCAAACGGTAAATATCTACAAACTAAATGTTCAATTATTAGACAGATTTTGCTACTTTTTTGAAAGGTTTAGCAAGACATAGTTATCGTCTTGTCTTGTTGGTTGGTCGGTCGGGGTGCCAGAGGCTGAGATGGCCCTTCACGCCTTCATCATGAGATGAGGATCGATGAGGTGGAACACTGAGGTCAGGAGCATAAAGCTAAAGATGAGATGGGAGGGGGGGGGAAATGGCTGATTGCCATGGTGAGGAAAAGCTGTGAGATGACTTGAAAATGAGTTGAGTGTAATAAACAAAAATGAAGTCCACTGTGCTCTGCTTTAAGAAAACGTCTCGCTGTTTTTAAGGTTACTTATCTCGATAAGATAATTAACATCTCCAGTCTCCGCTAGTAACTAAACTGAGCTAGGACCCGAAGGACAATAGAGGTTAGTAAAGCCAGACTCCTACTTGTGAAACATGCTTCGACCAGTCGGTTTCAAACGAAAATGGCCGCCATTAACAGTTTTATAGGACAGGTCCTGGATGCTACTAACGAAAGGTCAAAGATATCATCACGTTCATGTACGTCGAAGCTAAACAACTTACTACTGCCTCTTACACGGTGTGTTCACGTTGGCTGGATTTGAATAATATTTCATCTTGGTGTTCTGTCTTTCATACATTGATCAGTGATCGACGTCGCAGAAGTATTGCAGTCATCAGGCTTGCAACAAACGCTCACGAAGAGAGGAAGCTAAAACTATGAGATGGTGACGACTGGCTGTCGGAACTCATCTTTGATCATCCCGCTGGGTGACGACCGAGTCCCCGGCTCGGAGAACTCGCAAGACACGTCCGTCTCTGAAGGCGTCTTCTTCTGGAATGGGAGTGGTGATGAGACATAGTTAAAATGCAAAAAATAAAAGTGGTGAATTATATAAGCCTACGAATTGTTCAGAAATACTGGTGGATAAAAATCTACTAAATTAAATTTATTAAACCAAGAATCACAATTAATAAACTACCACTTTAAAATATTTTTTCGCTGGCTGGAGCAAGTTGGCATCGCTGAGTATAGAACAAAAAAATATATTTGTGTTTCTATATTGCATTACTTTCTTCAAGCTATTTTAGTAACGATAATAATATAAAAAAATTTACTCGAATTATGTGTTTTTAATAATCGTGACTTCACCGGTGACACCCTTAGTGCTACGATGAATCTCAACGCAGGTCACCGGTGACTCCCATTTCATTCAACGTGCTCAGAGAGTCAACTAATGTGTTAGTGGAAGTAATTTGAGGCCATCCAATGCACATGACGATTAATGAACAAACTACGACTCTAAAACTACCCCTCCCATCCGAGAAAATAAATTCCCCTAGCGCGTTTTACAATTTGTTAACTGCTACGAGTATGTATTCGACTTTCATGGAATCCCAAAAGAAATTATTATAAATAATGAATTTCTTTTTAAAAAATGCCTCATTTATGTAATATAATACAATGAAATTTATTTATTTAGTATAATTTCACCTTCATTAAAGTATTGTAAATGCGTGAGATTGCTTCTAACAAAAGAAGAAACAAATCTATCATTTGGTGCTGGATAACTCATAAGAATTCGTTAACATTTTGGTTTTTCAGAGACACTATTTTTTTAATTCCTTAATATGCATCGATTTAATTACAGCTGCTTACAGGAAGAAAATAATTTTTTTGAGAGAAACTTCGCCTAACTAGTTTTGGATAATCAGTATGTTTAGCCGTGAAAAATAAAAATAAAATAAAAAAATAATAAAAAAGTAAATAAATAAAATAATAAAGAAATAAATAAATAATAAAAAAATATTAAAAAAAATAAGTAAAATAATAAATAAGTAAATAAATAATAAATAAATAAATAAATAGTAAAATAAATAAAAAAATGGAAGAGTAATTTTAGAAGAATTAACTTTCCCGCTAAAAATTCATACTTATCTCACCGAATTATTTAGAGTTTTTTTGCTAATTATCTTGAAAATTTCAGAACACCAGCCAGAATTGTTTGCTTCTGAATGGTTGTCATTTTGCTACAACTGTCCCATTTTAAATTATAATTTGAATGTTTTTCTCTTGCCTTAATTAATACAAAAACTACGTGCTTCGTCAAATATATGTTAAGTGCGTCAGTGATAAAATATGTTTTGATAAGCTAAGTAAATTGCTGTTTAGGTTACTTTTATTTGGACTCCCGATTTCAAAATAATAATAATAATAAAGAAATAAAAAATAAATAAAAATGATAAAAAAAATAGTGCTTGGAGTTTCTCCGCGCGGAAGAAGTTAAGCTTCGTAACGTGGAAATGAAAATGGGAAAGGGTAGAACTTGATTTTTAGTGAAATCATAATGTTTCTTTAAGACAAACTTTATTAACA